AATTTTAGAAATAAAAGCAAAAATAAACAAATGGGACCTAATGAAACTTAAAAGCTTTTGCACAACAAAGGAAACTGTAAGCAAGGTGAAAAGACAGCCCTCAGATTGGGAGAAAATAATAGCAAACGAAGCAACAGACAAAGGATTAATCTCAAAAATATACAAGCAACTCCTCCAGCTCAACTCCAGAAAAATAAATGACCCAATCAAAAAATGGGCCAAAGAACTGAACAGACATTTCTCCAAGGAAAACATACAGATGGCTAACAAACACATAAAAAGATGCTCAACATCACTCATTATGAGAGAAATGCAAATCAAAACCACAATGAGGTACCATTACACACCAGTCAGGATGGCTGCTATCCAAAAGTCTACAAGCAATAAATGCTCGAGAGGGTGTGGAGAAAAGGGAACCCTCTTACACTGTTGGTGGGAATGCAAATTAGTACAGCCACTATGGAAAACAGTGTGGAGATTTCTTAAAAAGCTGGAAATAGAACTGCCATATGACCCAGCAATCACACTTCTGGGCATACACACTGAGGAAACCAGATCTGAAAGAGACACGTGCACCCCAATGTTCATCGCAGCACTGTTTATAATAGGCAGGACATGGAAGCAACCTAGATGCCCATCAGCAGACGAATGGATGAGGAAGCTGTGGTACATATACACCATGGAATATTACTCAGCCGTTAAAAAGAATTCATTTGAATCAGTTCTAATGAAATGGATGAAACTGGAGCCCATTATACAGAGCGAAGTAAGCCAGAAAGATAAAGACCATTACAGTATACTAACACATATATATGGAATTTAGAAAGATGGTAACGAAAACCCTATATGCAAAACAGAAAAAGAGACTCCTATGTATAGAACAGACTTGTGGACTCTGGGAGAAGGCGAGGGTGGGATGTTTCAAGAGAACAGCATCGAAACATGTATATTATCTAGGGTGAAACAGATCACCAGCCCAGGTTGGGTGCATGAGACAAGTGCTCGAGCCTGGTGCATTGGGAAGACCCAGAGGGATCGGATGGAGAGGGAGGTGGGAGGGGGGACCGGGATGGGGAATACATGTAAATCCATGGCTAATTCATTTCAATGTATGACAAAAACCACAGCAATGATGTAAAGTAATTAGCCTCCAACTAATAAAAATAAATGAAAAAAAAAAGAAAAATTAATTGAAAAAATAAACAAAGGCAAATTGAAATGAAGGTTATTTTTCTTATTATTAATTGGTTAAAGATAAATTCTTCTTTGGACTTCTCCATCTTTGTTTTCCACTGATTTTGAATCTTCATAATTAAAGTGAGTTTCATGTATAGAAGATTGAGTTTCACTCAGTGGTAAAGAATCCGCCTGCAATGCAGGAGCTGTGGCAGATGCGAATTCCATCTCTGGGTCAGGAAGATCCCCTGCAGGAGAGCATGGCAACCCACTCCAGCATTCTTGCCTGGAGAATCCCTGTGAACAGAAGAGACTGGTGGGCTCACAGTCCATGGGGTGGCAAAGAGTTGGACATGACTGTGCAAGTAAACAACAGCAGACACATATTCCTAACAAACTCTGAAGATACTAAAAATAGATGAGAAACTCCTCAGCCTAAAGAAAGCAAAACAAACAAACAAACAAAAAACCTAGATTGCAGAGCTGAATTATAAAAGGTTTTAGGCAATAAAATGTCTCCCAACACTAGTGTAAACAGTGTGTTCCACACAAGGGAGAGGAGTCATTTTTAATACTCAGTCAATAGAAAAACATTCTAGTTACATTCATAAATTAAAGGAAATGAAAATGTCCAGAAAACATAGTATAAAATCTACTGATCATTTTATATCTAATTAAGACTGTAAAACTGTAAGGGGATTTTTAAGAAAAAACGTCTGCGAAAATTTAAACAGCCCCCAATGAAAAGAATTGGACACGACTGAGTGACTGAACTGAGCTGAAGGAGTCCCAATGAATGTAATTTTATTTTCTTTTTTCCATAGGCTTAAAATAATTGACAATTAAGAATGAATTTCACTTTAACACATATTTTTCAATTTCAACAGGATGTTTTATATTCAAATATAAGATTTTTCAAGCTAAAAAGGTTTGTACCTTGCAGTGACTATTTTGTTTCACTGACTTAGACATACATAAAATCACATTGTGTGTCTTTACCTTGACCATCTTTGTGGTGTCACTGTGCATTTAGAATCAACTGTTTGAATGTGGGGTCTGTGAAGTTCTCGGGTCACATACTGTTGAAGCCTAGCTTGAAGGATTTTGAGCATTACCTTGCTAGCATGTGAAACGAGTGCAGCCGTGTGGTAGTTTGAACATTGTTTGGCATTGCCCTTCTTTGGGATTGAAATGAAAACTGACCTTTCTCAGTCCTGAGGCCACTGCCAAGTTTTCCAAACTGGCTGGCCTATTGAGTGCACCACTTTAACAGCACCATCTTTTAGGATTTGAAAGCTCTCAGCTGGAATTTCATCACCTCCACTAGCTTTGTTCCTACTGCTGCTTCCTAAGGCCCACTTGACTTTGCACTCCAGGATGTCTGGCTCTAGGTGAGTCATCACACCATTGTGGTTATCCAGGATAGTAAGATCTTTTTTTTACAGTTCTTCTGTGTATTCTTGCTACCTCTTCTTAATCTCTTCTGTTTTAGTTAGGCCCATAACGTTTCTGTCCTTTATTGTGCCTGTCTTTGCATGAAATGTTCCCTTGGCATGTCTAATTTTCTTGAAGAGATCTCTAGTCTTTCCCATTCTCCTGTGTCCCTGTGGTTCTTTGCTTTATTCAAATCCCTTGTGAGTATACATTGGAAGGGACAAATAGACTCAAGGGTTAGGCCTGGCACACAGGGCACCAGAAGACCTATGGATGGAGGTTCCCAACATTGTACAGGAGGTGGTGATCAAAAGCATCCACAAGAAAAGGAACTGCAAACCGGCAAAGTGGTTGTCTGAGGAGGCCTTACAAATAGATAAGAAGAGAAGAGAAAGGTAAAGCAGACACGGAAACATATAGCCACTGCCATAGTGCCTCCCCCGCCTCCCGAGCTGGGGGTCACCTTCTGCTGCTCTCAGTGCCAGGGGGAGGGGACAACCTAGCCTCTCCTACGGGGAAGCCACAGAGCAGGTGTGTCTCCCTGAGGATGTGATTGTATAAATCACGCACTCGCCTTTAATCATCACCTCACACCCTGCATTCGCCAAGAGACACACGGAAGACCGAGGAGACCATGAACCCTGCCACCTGGCCCCACCTCTGCAGTCACCCACATTCAGTGGACGGGCGGACGGATGACCAGCCCCGCAGGACAGGGCTGAGAATAGCCTCCGCAATGCCCAGCTTCTAAATGCACGGTCCGTCAGACCCAAGGCAGCTACCGGTTTAGGCTGGTGACGGCACAGGACGTGACTGAGACGCAGCCCCCGTGACACCCAGCTCCACCCACGCGCCATCCGCCAGCCTCGAGGCAGCTTCTGGTTCAGCCCAGTGACGTCACAGGATGCGAACGAGGAGCCTCCTCCGCAATGCCCAGCCCCTCAGTGCGCTGTCCTTCAGCCCCGAGGCGGCTTCCGGTTCAGGCTGGTCTCATCACAGGACGTGACTGAGACGCAGCCTCCACAATGCCCAGTTCCACCTACACGCCGTCCATCAGCCTCGAAGCAGCTTCCGGTTCAGCCCAGTGACGTCACAGGATGCGAACGCGTTGCGGCCTCCGCAATGCCCAGCCCCTCAGTGCGCCGTCCGTCATCCCTGGGGCGGCTTCCGGTTCAGGCTTGTCACATCACAGGACGTGCCTGAGACGCAGCCTCTGCGCTGCCGAGCTCCACATACGCGCCGTCGGTCCGCTTCAACCTGATGACATCGCCAACAAACCCGACAGCCCAGATGAAGTCGCCTGCGATGGTGTTGGTATAGCTGGCAGCTGACCCCGGGCACTGGCCCCGCACCCATACACAAACGTAGTGGAGCCAGGGACCAGGCCGGGTGGATGAGGACAAAGTGCAGGTTCTCCGTGAGGTTGATGCCGGCCATGAACAGCCTGCCTGGGACAAGAGAGGGGCTGCAGTTCATGGTGCCAGCTGTGGGGTCAGCCGCCTACATGTGCAGTCACTAACCCATGGAGTCATGTGACAAACCAGACCATGTGGTCACTGACTCACATGGTCGGTCACCCACCCATGGGGTCACTGCCTGATGTGGTGATCCCTCCACGTGGCCACCAACGCACGTGGTCACCCACCCATGGGGTCACTAACCTGCAGGTCATGCGGTCACCTGTCCACATGATTACCCCCCCACGCCATCACCCACCCACGCGGTCACCCACTCACCGGGTCCGCAACTCTCATGGTAACCCACCCTGCAGTCAGCAACTCAAACGGGTCACCCACCCACACGCTCACCCTACCCACACATCTCCTGCCCATGTGACCCTTAACCCATGGGGTCACCTGCCCACGCAGTCACCAAGCTGTGCCATCACCCACCCAGACTCTGGCCTCCACAGTGGTCAGAGATTCAGATGTCCGACAGAGACCAAAGTTCAGACAGCAGGGACTCACAGGGGTGTTGACTGATGAATTTCTCCTGTTACAGAGGGCAGGCAGGCTGGACAGTGACCCCAGAGACGTCCACGTCCTGACCCCATGTGGTGGACATGATAATGTCCGCATGGATATTCCCATCCTGTCTACATCCTGACCCCCTGTGGTGGACACAGTATCACCCCCAAGGATGTCCACACCCTGGTCCCCATGTGGGGAACAGAATAACATCCCCTAATATGTCCTGTTCCATTTCTCCACTTGAACCCAAAGCCAGCCCCATGCGCTAGGACTTGCGTGTGACCAGGTGTTCGGTATCAAGGTGGCACTCACCTGGCTGGCTGCAGCTCTTCATGTGCTCCAGGTAGTGGATGAGGTCTAGGTGCTTCACCTGGTTCCCCCACCAGTAGGGGATACAGGGCCACAGTTCTGCATGCTGACTCATGGATGCCTCGTCCTTGTACAACAGGACGACCTGCTGGCCCCGGGACCACAGCTGGCACAGATTCGGCACCTCCTGTGGGGAGAATCATCCAGGTGCCCATGAGACGTGTGCAAAGGGGTTATTGGGGTACCTTGTGACATGATGTGTCAGGTATTGGGGGTGTCCCAGAAGCTACAGCAGTGTGTGGATTATTGGGGTGTCTATGAGCAATGATGGAATGGTTATTGGATTCTCTATGAGAAGAGACAGTCATGGGTGGAATAATGGCATGGCTGAGTAGAGACACTAGTGGGTAGATTACTGGGGTGTCTGAGTAGAGAAGGTGATGAGTGGGTTATTGGGGTGTATTGAGCAGTGATTGGTAGATTTTTGGGGTGTTTGGAGACAGTGGTGAGTAGATTACTTGGGTGTCTTGAGCAGTGATGGGTCAATTATTGGGGTGAGTGAGTGGAAACAGGTGGGTAGATTATTGTGCTTTCTGATAGGAAACGATGGGTGGATTACTGGGGCATCTTGAGGCATGATTGATGGAGTTCAGGATTGTCTGAATAGAGACCAGGCAGGGTGGATTATTGGGGGTGCCTGTGACCAGTGATGGGCTGGTTACTGGGGTGTTTTGGTGGAGACAGTGGTGGGTGGATTACTGGGGTTCCGTGAGCGGCGTCACCTGGTATCTGAATCAGCCTCATGCAGCAAACGGATAGTCTGATTACAGTGAAGCCTAGTGCTCCCGCTGCCAAGAGCATGGGGAGCCTGTGGCCCCTGCGCACCCCACGGGGACACAGCATGTCTCCAAAGGTGTTCTTGATGCAGCCCATCAGGTTCTTGTGCAGGTAGGTCCTCCATCATGCCCTCGGAGTTCCTGCATGCCAGGATAACCCCCTCCTGGGGGTGATTCTCCAGCCACTCCGAGATCTCCGTGAGGGCGTTCTGGGCAGGGGTGGAGGAGAAGGGCCTTGTAGTGAGAGACAGAGGGGCGTGGGTGGGGACTTCCCCCAGCACAGCCCCTCTACAGACAGGTTGGGGGGTCCTGACACACAAAGACAGAAAGCATGGCGCCTGCTCCCAAGGGACCCAGCCTCTCCTGAGTGGCAGTGGGGAGCCGTGGCTTTGCTCTGGTGTTTGTGTCTTTCCGTGTGTGTATGAACATGCTCCTGTAGGTACAGGTGCACATGCATGTGTGCATGTGTTCAGGGTCTGTGTGTGCATGGATATGTGTGTGTGTGTGTGTGTGTGTGTGTGTGTGTGTGTGCACAGCAGCAGAGAGCAGTGCTTATAATATTGTGTGACATCTGTACTCCCGGGAGCGGGGGTGGCCATCAGGGTACATTCACAGTGAGGCCCAGGCCGGAATCTCCAAGGGTCATTAGGTTCTGTGGTGGGGGCACCGGGGACCGAGGCCAGAGTGAAACATTAAGTGACTTGTCCAGCAGCCGAGAGAATGAACTGGACACGCCAAAACTAGACAGACACAGGAAGAGATGGGTCAGGAACCTGGTTTAGCCAAATTCTGGGAGACACCCCACAGGCCAGGGGTAGAGGTGTGAGTTCAGAAATGCACGTTGGTCGGGAATTCTGAGTGACTGATGCCACAGGTCAGCCCTCTCCTGCCAGGAGTGGACGTGTGTCCGTCCCCTTAGAGATCAGTGTCTTCTAACGGGAGTGGACCTCTGTTGTCCCCTTAAAGGTCAGCCTCTCCTGCCTGGAGTGACCGTGTGTCCATCATAGTGGACGAGTGTCCGTCTGAGTGGATGTGTGTCTGTCTGGGTGGATGTGTGTCCATTCCCTTAGAGGTCAGCGTCTTCTAACTGGAGTGGACCTGTGGTTTCCCCTTAGAGGTCTGCCTCTCCTGCCTGGAGTGGCCATATGTCCATCTGAGTGGACGTGAGCTCATCCCCTCAGAGGCCCTCCCCGTCCTGCCTGGACCAGACGTGGGGGTCCCTGGCTGGCTGACCCCCCTCCATACCCCCTGCCCCCGCCCCCACCTCCACGAGGGCCGTCGTGTACACCATGTGGCCAGAGTGCAGGTTCCCCTCGGTGCCCTCCTCTGTGTGCACCATCCGCAGGTCCTCACGCCAGCATCCAGCTGCTTTGTGATGCTCAGCACCTGCACACAGAGGTCAGTCACCTGTGCTGGGCACAGAGGGCGGCCCCCCGCTCAGGGGCTGGGCATGCACTGAGGATGCCCAATGAGGGCCACATCGTCCACTGTGAAATCAACAGTGCTGGTGCTGCCGGGGTTGAAGCCCTGCTTCTGGGAACAGGGTTTCCAGGGTCACTGGTCACATGGAGCACAGAGCCTGAGTCCAGATTGTGGTCTTGGGGGGGTGTTCCTGCAGAGTCCAGCCTCACCCTCCTCTCAGGCAGTCCCTGGATGGACGCTCCCTGTGGGTTCAACAGCCCAGGCTCCAAATACCCAAGCTGGACCCTTGGACATGAGAACACACAAGACCCACAAAGGTCTGTGCCCACCCCCAGAAACAGTACTAGGAAAGGCAAGAAGGAATCAAGTGGGGAGAACGAAAGGAAGAAACATCTGTCCACCACACAAATAAGACAGGAAAAAGCAAAAAATAACTTAAACCTAAATTGAAAAGTGAAAGTTGCTCAGTTGTTTGCAACTCTTTTTGATCTGATGGACTGTAGCCCACCAGACCCCTCTGTCCATGGAATTATCCAGGCAAGATTACTGGAGTGGGTTGCCATTCCCTTCTCCAGGAGATCTTCCCAACTCAGGAATCAAACCCATGTCACCCTCATTGCAAGCAGATTCTTTACCAACTGAGCCACCAGGGAAGCCCTAATATAAATTCGTAGCAGAAAATGTACTGTGTCGTCTATAAGGAGTCATAATGGAAAAACAAGAAAACATAAGGATAAAAAAATGGGAAAGAAAATAATAGATTCTCTCCATCCAAAATAAAAGAAAAAGCAAAAAAGTAATATTAACATAAACTAATAGCAGAAAACAGTACTGTGTTCTCTGTAGAGAGTCATGGCGGAAAAAGAAAAAAAAAAATATAAGGATAAAAAATGGGAAATGGGAAAGGAAGTCACAGCGCCCCCCCCCATCCAAATTAAAAGAAAAAGCAAAGACTTATATGAATATTGTCAGCTACACAGAGGCACTTGACATCCACCTCTACAAGGATTAAATTAAATGCTGCTGCAGCAAATGACCTTCAACACCCCTTGAAAGACCACCACCCATGTCCCCCACCCCGCACACAACCCAGTTCTCCTTGAAAGCCATACCTCTTGAGACCCCGGCACTGAGGCCCCCCAGGATGGAGGGACCCTGCCTTGGAGGGACATAGAACAGAGGGACCCTGGCACCAAGGGACCCTCAGAGCAGAGGGGCCCCAGTCCTGCAGGACTCCCGGGTTCTGGTGGACCCCCTACTGCTTGCTCCCTCCTCTGGGTGTGAGCTCTTAAATTAAATGCTGCTGCAGCAAATGACCTTCAACACCCCTTGAAAGACCACCACCCATGTACCCCACCCCGCACACAACCCAGTTCTCCTTGAAAGCCATACCTCTTGAGACCCCGGCACTGAGGCCCCCCAGGATGGAGGGACCCTGCCCTGGAGGGATATAGAACAGAGGGACCCTGGCACCAAGGGACCCTCAGAGCAGAGGGGCCCCAGTCCTGCAGGACTCCCGGGTTCTGGTGAACCCCCTACTGCTCGCTCCCTCCTCTGGGTGTGAGCTCTTAAGGCCAGGCTGCAGGCACCTGATGCAAGCAGGAATGAGGTTTGCCCACATTCCAGCCCTGGCTCTCTGCCCATCAGATGCCCTGAGGAGGATTCCACCAACCGGGGATCTCCCAGGAGGGAGCAGTTACACAAGGCAAGAGCTGTGCTTGACAGCCATCTGTCCCCTCCAGGTGGGCCCCTGCTCCTGCGGGCACCTGGGCCCAGGTGGGTTCTCTACCCAGCCCAGCATCCAACCCCTGGCTAACGTGTGCCAGTGACAGGACCACTGTCAGTTGGGTGCCCCCTCCCCACAGACAGGGCCCCTAGCATTGACTCCTCTACATCCTCCACAATGACTGCTTCCCACCCGGCTTCTCTCCACCCCATAAAATCCCCAATCCACCCAGGAGAAGCACTACAGGGGAGGGGTGGGAGTGTGTGCATGTGTTCTCAGTCGCTTCCGTCGTCTCGACTCTCTGTGACCTCATAGACTGTAGCCTGCCAGGCTCCTCTGTCCATGGGATTTCCCAGGTGAGAATACTACAATGGGGTGCCATTTTCTCTCCATGGATCTTCCCGTCCCAGGGATCAAACCTGGGTCCCCTGCATTGCAGGCTGATTCTTTACTGTCTTAGCCACCAAGAAAGTCTCCCTGGAGGAGGTGCCGGGGTGCAAACACAAACCCGTTTCAGAAGACATGGGAACTCAACTATTGCTTATCTGGGACCAGGAAGGAGCTCTGGTGTCAGCTCAGCTGCACAAAGGGCGTGACCCAGCTCCCCCAGCTTCTGTGACTTCAGACTGTGATGCTGTTAGTCCATGGGTCCCACTTCTGGCTTCGGGCTGGTTCCACAGTAAAGCCGTGTCCTTTCCTACCTTTCTGGGAGGCTCTCTGTGTGGGGAAGATCTCCTGGAGGAGGGCATGGCAACCCACTCCAGTATTCTTGCCTGGAGAATCCCATGGGCAGAGGAGCCTGGTAGGTACAGTCCATGTTGTTGCAACGAGTCAGAGAGGACTGAGCACAGAGAGACACTCTCTAGTTACAAGTACTTTGATGTTATTCTTAGTATTTTCAGGCTCTTTATGATGCCAGTGTTGTGGGTCACGTGCAGTTTCATTTATTCTTTTTCCTTTTAAATATGTGTGATCTGTTTCAGAGACAGTGTGGAGAGGTTCACACTTTAGCTGTCACCCGGGGACAATCCAGAAATCCTTCCTTCTGTCTCTGAACATAGGTTTGGAATAGCTTTATTTCTTTCTCTCTCTCTCTTTTTTTCTTATTTATTCTCAGGGTCAAGGGATGGGAAGGAAGATTTACAAGTTCATAATATAATTTGGTTTGATGATGTTATGGAAAAGTGGATGCATGGGTGAATAGATGGTGGGCAGGTTGATGGATGGATAGAGGGAGGGTTGGGCAATGTTTGGGTCAGTGGGGTTGGATCGGTGGATGGATGGATGATGGACTGATTGGTGGATGGATGGATGATGGATGGATAGATTTATGGATGGATGGGTGGGTGGATGGGTGAGTGGTTAGATGGATGGATGAGTGGATGGATAGGTGAGTGGGTGGGTGGGTGGATGGATGGATGGTTGGGTCAGCAGCATGTAGTCGATGCACACAGTGGTGTATGACTCACCATGAAAACGAGTGAAGTTCTGACACACCTTACATCGTGGATGAACCTTGAACACACGATGATCAGTGAGAGAAGCAGACACAGAAGGACACATGTTATGTGTCCATTTACAAGAGATGTCCAGAACAGGCCAATTTACAAAGACGGAAGCAGATGAGTGGTGCCCGGGCTTGGGCGAGAGGCATCACAAGTTATTATTATGTAAGGGGTACAGGAAGGAGAGCGGCCAAGGGCCCCTCTGGATGGAGGAGGCCTGAAGACTCGGAAGCCTCCTCCTTGTGGGGCCCCCACAGCCTTCCCCACGGGCAAGCACCTGGAAGGGCTGAGAGACTGGGTCCATGGATCCCTGTCTGCTCCACACCGTCAAGGGCAGGGCCGTGTGGGGGGCCCCTCCTCCCAGGGATGGGGTGGCCGGCATAGAACCCCACAGCTGTCAAGAGGGTGAGAAAGAGTCTAAAGCTGCCTTCCATAGAAAACAGCACTTCCTGTTTGTCCAACTGTCCATGTGCGTTCCCAGCGGGCAGTGCCCAGGGACACAGAGCCTGGTCAGTTCCCGGTGTCTGCGTGTCCAGAGGAGTGCTGGTGGAGAATGGGGCGCGTTTGCACCTTGAGGAGGTGAGCAGGCTGGTGCTGTGTGGCAGGGACCCTCCCCTCCCAGGCCACGGTGTTCGGTGGCTGCCCTTGTGATGGCCTGAGCACAGCAGTGTCACCCTGGATGTGCCCGCCTGCCTGGTCACCACCGGTCATCCCCAAGCCGAGATGCCCGCCCATGGCTGAGCTTTGCAGCACTTTTTGCAACCATACTGGCTGGAGTCAAAGGTTCCTCATTTCAACTAGATAGTTCTGGTACCATTTATCGAGTTGTTTGGGGGAGAGGTGGACACTTTAAACTTTGGGCCGTCCAGGCTCAAGTGCAGAAGGTGTAGCACAAGCTCTGATGGAAAAGGTGGGTGGAAAGGTGAGCGGTCCCCAGTAGTAGGACAGAGTGCCTGAGAAAGCACAAACCGCCCCCCAGGGTGGCTGGCATGTGTCCTCAAGGCAGGCTCTCGGAGGTTCACATACCTTCCGGGTTGAATGGGATAAAGTGGACAGAGAAGGGAAGGTGCTCGTGTGTGTATGTATGTGTGTGCAGTGTGTGTGCATGTGTGTTTGGGGTGTGTGTGTGTGTGTATGTTTGGTGTGTGTGTTCAGTGTGCATGTGTGTTTGGTGTGTGTTCAGTGTGCCTGAGAGTGCCTGCCTGGGTGCATGTTTGGCACTGACGCTTCCCACACTCGGACCGTCTCGCAGCTGCATCCCTGCCGAGCTGAGCCTGCGGGGCCTCACCTGGGATGGAGAGGTGTTGCAGGGGCACGTCCCAGAGAGAACCCGGCGCCGATATCCAGTCCACGTTTGCCTTGGTGGCGCAGGAAGGAACCGGGCAAGCTCACCTGCCAGCCCATCGGAGGTCGAGCCTGGGAGATCTGGGGGAGGAAATGGGGCTTTGCAGAATTAAATCAGGAAGTTCTGAAGACCCAGTGCTCGGGGCACGGAGGCGTGGCTCTGAGAAACGAGAAACAGCTGACTTCTCTCCAAGAGAGAGGAGGATTGGGTGGTGGAGAGGGGAGAAGAGCTCTAGAGACAGAGATACTAAGACACAGAGAGAAATGGACAGAGACATGAAGAGAGACAGACAGAAGCAGAGTGAGGGGAGAGAGAGACACAGGAGGTGAAGTGAGGGTTTG